GCCCGTTCCAGATCATCAATAACAGCTCTGCCTGATGCAGTCGTCATGTTGTCCCTCTCTTGAAAGAGTTTGTGTCCTAGCCGCATCATCTTTCCCATCCACTACACACAACATCAGACATAAAATTCAATATTGATGTATTATAAAAAATTAAAAAAAAAAAAAACCACATAACAATAAATGTTTTATGAGAAATACCGCATCCACGACAGTGGGCGGTGGCACATCATCATCATCGGCATCGTCGCCATGGTGGACGTCTCTGATCAACCTCGGGTGCGAATACCGATTGTACCATTCCATGTAATGCTGGTCACACATGCCAATCACCCCAATTGGTGGCCGCTGCAGCTCCGTAGTCCATAGGCGGACACCCATCGGAAACTGCTCCCACGTGGCAATCATGCTTTTTGGCCATTATACGACGTACTCCTTCAACGACGCAGATCGGACCGCCTTACTGGGCTATGCTGGTGGAGGAGGGACAACTTGGACAAATCCAAGCTGGCGAAGACACAGTGGAAGCAGACACAGTTTTCTGCCCTCGACCATTTTTTGCTTACGGCATACATAGTGGACGCAGATGATGTGCCAGATCTACTAACAAATCTACCATCTTTACCCTTACGCATATCTACCCTATGTGTCTCATACATATCATCAAGCCTCTGACTGAATGGACCATAATCATCATATGGTCCACTCTGATCGTCCACATCCTCATCTGTATCCTCCTCCTCCTCCTCACCATCATCGTCTTCATCCTCCTTAGGATGGTGAACCCATTCTCTGCGAACCGAGGCCGAAATACCACGGGATCTAACATGTCTGGGCACCGAGCTCTCCATTTAGTAGTTTCTACTTCTAATAAATTTCATACTCTTCCCCGCACCAGATTGAAAATGCGATACCTAACTCCATTAAAAAAATATATATATATATTATCATACAAAAAAAAAATAACTAACAAAAAAAAATCAAATAAACAAAAAAATACTACCAAATTGACATAAATAAAAAAATAACAGAACATTGAAAAAAAATATTAAAAAAAATACACAAAAGCGGAAAAAAATAACCAAAAACATACAAAATATATATAAACAAAAGAAAAATTAAAAAAAATAACTAACAAAAAAAAATCAAATAAACAAAAAAAAAATACTAACACATTGACAAAAAAAAATAACAGAATACTGCAAAAAAAAATAAAAACCAAAAAAAATAAATTACCTTGCCACCGTGTGACCACCTTGGCTTTGGCGTCCCGACCAGACGCCGCTACCATGGGACTGGCGTCTGGCTTGGGAGCCGCCACCGTGGCCACGGCGTCCTGGCCAGGCGCCCCGCCCTATTCGCAGTGTTTTTTTTTTAATTTTTTTTTTTTAAAAAGTTACCTTGCCACCGTGTGACCGCCTTCCCTCCGCCTCTTCCGCCGCCAATTCCTTCCCTAACCGCCTCGACATTGTCGTAGTTTGAATTTTTTTTTAGAGAGAAGTGAGAGTAGAGAGGAGAGAGAAGATGCGTTTTTTTTAAAAAAAACAAAAAAGGGTGAAAGTGTCAATCCACCTAATTTTTGTGTGCTTTATGTAGAGATTTGCAGGCGATGTTTAGCAGTTCACTTGATGAAACCTAATTTGTTAATTCTATTGTTGATGAGCCTCATGTTCCTTTTGCAAGAAAATCCAATATTGTCCTTTCTTTTCCATTTCTACCTCCTCCGTCACTTCCCTCTTATCCCCCTTTGAATGATGCTTATGATCATGTTTTTTATAATGTGTCGTCGAAGGAGACTAACAATTTTTCCTGTTATTTTTCTTGTGAGCATAGTTTTTTCTTCTCTTTTTATTTTTCTAGGATTAATAGACTTTTAGGACTAACTTATTATATTTTCTATATATAATATTTTTTGAGATGTTTGAAGGAACATATGATAAGCTTCTCAAAGCACTAAATTTTTCTGCACTGGTTTATTTATTTTGTATTCGTCATCACCATTAGCTATAGACCTCAAAAGGGTGACGAATATGGACTGTAATCTCAAGGGTTCTCGAATCCTCGTCAATGTATCCTTGTGAGTATCTTCCCCCTTTTTGTTCATGTCATGTTGTTGCATTGTGGACACTGCAATATTCAAAGTGTGGAGGAGGGTATTATTCATTGTATATTTTAGGCTTTGGTAGTTTATAGTTGTTTCAGTATCATCTTGAACTTTCATTCCAATATGTGAAACAAGTGATTTTCGAAAAAAATAAATAAAAGCATATTATACTATTTTTCATGAATTGATTGGCATTGGCTTGAGTAATTCGATAAGGTAGCATAAATCCTTTTGATGACAATTGTTTGTGGTAAGATGGTTTCATTTTCCTCTTGTGTGATGAGTACCTATTGGAGGGCCACGAACCTCGTAAGACTCAATTCAAATACTCTCCTTCTTGATCACCCCAATTGGGACTTACATTTTAGCTTTCTGAGATCGGTTATTGAATTGTTTGGGAAATATAATTGAAACATATTTTTGTTATTTGGAGCTTTCAGAGTCATGTTTAGGAATTTTTCTTTCTATTTCTACATCCTTTTCTTTATAGCCCTTTGAGCCCTATTTCCTTCTTGACAACCGGTGTGTTACAAGCTTATGGTTTTTGTAATCCATTATTTGGATAAAAAGAGTATTTTTCTAAGCTTTGATGATTTGTATTGATGAGCTTTTTGAAGGAAGGTGTTATGAAAAAACAAAGGAATAAATTAAATAAAGTTGTGATTTGCAAAAAAAAAAAAAAAAAAGTAATGAAAAATTGATGATGAGAAATAAAGAAGGGTGAATGTTAATGTTGAATTAATGGAGTTGATAAGGAAGAGTAAAGCATTCATTGTTGGTGGTGTGATGTTTTATCTCATTAATTTTATGAATGATGTTTATTTATTCCTTGCATATCACATTCAAGGATGTTAGTATGAGTTTTATTGCAATGATTTTAAACACCACATTCCCAAATTTACATCCCTCTCACCTTATCACCCAAATTTACCCTTTAAAATTCCTCTTGATTTTCCTTGCAATTTGGTCGTCTTAACGGTGGAGGGCAAGATTTTGTGCAAGTCTTGACGAAGGTCATCAAATTGAAGTGAGGTATGAGCTAATATGGTTGAACATCCTTGGTGAAGATTCAAACTTGAGGAAAGGAAGCAGTAGGATTGGTTGGTTATTGAAGGGTGCTATAAATTATTGTTTCATCCATGCCTTTGATTTGTGATACATTAATTGATTCTTTGATAAAAAAAAAAAATTGGTTTTCAAAATAATCACTTGATTAAACAACTTGGTTTGGAAGTTCTTGATTTGGCTTTGTAGGTATGCCTTCCGAAAATCTTCACGAGACCATACTCGTCCACTAGGGTAGCCTGGGGGTTTAAAGGGCTTGCTACACATGATAAGTGCAATCGTGATAACTATAGTATAAGGATTTATTGCTTTATTAGATTAGTTTTCCTATTTTTGTTTTGTTTACTCGAGGACAAGTAAAGGTAAAGTGTGAATTTGATAACACGATAAAATACACGTTTTATATGCCATATTTATTTGATATTTGTCTTGCTTTTTCCTACATTTAATTATTTAAGTGTCATTTTATTATATATATCTCGGTATTGCTTTCCTCGAGTTCTTTTTCTGTGTTTTGTAGGAATAAGTTGTTCAAGTAGAGCTACGAATTGGAGATGGTTTTATGTGACAAAGTGAAAGGAATTTCATTAAAAGAGCTAAATGGCAGCCTACTCCGCAAACCGGTTGCCGCTTGCAACACTTCTCCGCGGCCTACCCGCAGCCAGCTCGCCAAGGACCTAAGAAGAATCATGGTGGCAGCCTAGTCCGCAGCCTACCCGCGGCTCGTAACATTGCACCGAAACCTGCCCGCGGCCCCTTCTTGGATGGCGTTTGAGAAGGGTTTTGGATAGATTTTGTGCCGAATTTAGAGACTCCTAATTCCACTCAACTTTCCCAAAATTCTTGCTTATGTATATCTTTATGAGATCAGTTCAAAAAGAGGTCTTCGAAGCCGCATAAGGAGCATAAAAGCGTTAAGAGTTTTTAGAGGATGAGAAGATTTAGTTTTGTTCTTTCTTTTTGTTAGTTTTTAATTCTTCTTGTTTTCCTTTATTACTTTTAGTACTTTATTCATCTTTGTTCTTAATTATGTGTTTCTAGTCTTATTTTCTAGATTTATGTTGAACCCTAGCTATGATTGATAATTGATTTATTCTTTTAAGTCAATTACTTATTATATTTTTCATGTTTAATTGATTGTAATTATGCCAAAATTAGATCAGGGATAATTGATTTTGACGGATTTGAATAGATCAATTAAGGACATGAAATTCTCCACGAAAGTAGGTAGAATGGATTGTTAGGAAGATAGGGTGCTGGACATAATGCCTTTAATTTGCATGATTCCACGAAAGTAGGTTTGATTGTTGATTAGGGAAGCCATTGACAAGTTGGGAGAGATCTATGGTATTTTATAGTGAATATATAGTTAATTGGTTGGGGTAGGTATTTGTCTTGTATTGATTATGCTAGTGGTGAAACCCGATCAAAAATCAACAATGAAGGTTAGGGTTTAGAAGAAAGAAAAAAGGTTTTTTTTTTTTTTTTTTTTTTTTTTTTTTTTTTTTTAATACTTGTATACTTGTATTAAGAAAATGCATGTAAGGTTGACATATGTTACTTTATGATTGACTCGTCTTATAATACAAAATATTTTAGGAAAATTTGTCAAAAATAAGCCAACCTTTAGCCGGTTTTCTCAAAATAAATAAGTTAAGCTTTTGATTAACTCAAAATAAGTCTGCTTTTATAAGGCATTTTCCTAAATGAGTCAAAACTTATTGGTTTGGAAAGTAACCGGTTATTTAGGTCATTTATGCCACATGTCATAATGCAGTTGGTCCTTTTCATAATTTATTATTTAACTTAATTATTTAAAAAAAGTTATTTTTTTTCAATCAACTACAAAATTAAAAGAAAAATAATTTGCCGCCACTCCCCCCACCCTTTACCACTCCCCTACCCCTGCTCACCTCCCCACCGTCCACTATTGGCCCATCACTCCCTTTCCCCGCATCTCATTCCTCCTCCCTGCATCCCTTTCAACCCTCTTTCCCCAGCATTCTCTCCCTTCCCCCACCCCTAAAACCACCACTCTCTCCCACCCCCACCCTTGAAATCATCATCACCCCGAATTAAATTGAATTGGGGCTAATGTTGTCAATTGTTCGACTCGGTGTTGTTATTTTTGGGTGGTGACTGGAGCTACGGATGAGGAGCAACTTTGAGCGTCAGTGAGAGAGAGACTGAGGCTGGTTATTGTAGGCCGGTGGCGTTGCACGTTGGGTTTTTGCGGCTACCACAATTATGTGTGGTTTCGGTGGTGCGGTGGGAGGATAAGAATTGGTGTGGCACAGCAGCGGAGGTTTATAGGAGGGTCTAATTGGTGGGGGGCTGAAGGATTAGGGTGATCAGGTGGTGGAGTCGGAGCTTGCCTGTCAAGATTGTGGAGTCATGGAGGTGGTTGATTTTTTTTTTTTTTTTTTTTCTTTTTGAAAAGAAATTATTTAAGGATGGTGGGAGGGAAAAAAAAAATGAAAGAAGAACCTCCTGATAATTTTTTAGCAGAAGAACCTCTTGATAATTTTATAGCAGGTCACGGAAAAGTATTAGCGCATAGCACTAATGTGCTTTCTTGGCCCCAATTTGCTTTTAATTGTTCTTGATTTAGAAATTTTGGGATTGTGGAATTAAGTACTTCAATGGAGATGCTTATTTGTGAAAAGAGATGGAGAAGAAATAGAAAGTTAAATAATGCTTAAGAGTGACTAGTGCTTCAAGGAAGGTGAACAGATGTGGAAAGGAGAGAGAAAGCTCAACACCATTAATGGGCAAGGAAATGTACGGACAATTTGTAAAAAAAAAGTGTAAGTTCCATATGGAGGTAAGGTCAACTAGTATTTTGAGGGGTATAAAGGTCCGTGCACTGCTTTTTAAAAAAGTGTAAGTTCCATATGGAGGTAAGAAGGTCAACTAGTATTTTGAGGGGTATAAAGGTCCGTGCACTGCTTTTTAAAAAAGTGTAAGTTCCATATGGAGGTAAGAAGGTCAACTAGTATTTTGAGGGGTATAAAGGTCCGTGCACTGCTTTTTAAAAAAGCGTAAGTTCCATATGGAGGTAAGAAGGTAAACTAGTATTTTGGAGGGTATAAAGGTTCGTGCACCGTTCATATGAGCAATCTCCTACTTTTTAGAAACCAATTAATCATAGAATCTTTCTCTTGGGTTTTAGCAATAGCTTGCTGTGGAAAATTAGGAATTTGAAAAATGTCGGGAACAACTGTAAGAGGGTTGATGCTACCGAAACCAGTAACATTTGTGACTGGAAACCCAAAAAAATTAGAGGAAGTGAAAGCCATTCTTGGTCAATCCATCCCTTTTCAATCTCTCAAACTCGACTGTAATTTCCATTTCCCAGAAATACCCAATTCTTAATTTGTTCATAATTTTATAATTTTAATTTAATTTGGTATAATTTGTTATTGAATTCAGTGCCAGAATTGCAAGGAGAGCCTGAAGATATTTCTAAGGAAAAAGCTCGTTTGGCTGCTATTCAGGTAATCAACAAATTTCCTTGTTTGATTTGATTTATGGCTTTGAGGATTATTTGTTAATAAGTGTAATTAATTATGATATTGGATTAGGTTAATGGACCTGTTCTTGTTGAAGATACTTGTTTATGCTTCAATGCTCTTAAAGGGCTTCCTGGTATGTTAACAAAATTTAATTTGTGACACAATTTTAAAAAATCCCATTTTCTAATTTTGTGCTATTTTGGTTTGTTTAATTTTGGATTTTGATTCGAACCCTAATATTTTCTAATTTAAATGCAGGGCCTTACATGTAAGTTTCTTCATTTGCTGAGTTGAGGTGCCAATTTCTTTCTCAAACTTTTGTATGTTAGATGATGTGCTAATGTGCTTATTTATAGTGTTGGGGTGAAATATGAATTAGCAGCAATATTATGTTATATGGGGAAATTTGCTTGTATGATAGGAGTAAAAGTTATATCGTAGGAAGCTTTTTTTAGCCTATTAGTAAAATAATGGGGTTCATCCTAAATTTGCTTGTTCCTCTAAATACATGTAAATTGGTTTTTGAAATAGATAAAAAGTTGGAATTACTGATGTAATAAGCTGGTGGATTAATTCCGTGTTCATAGAATGAAAATCTTGAGTAATAGAGCTTGAGGTTGTGTGTTTCAAGAAAACATCGAGACTTTGTTTACGCTTTACACTAAGGAAACGGTCAAGAAATGCTAATAACATTTGTTTTGGGTATGAAACTGCTTCTTTTGGCCTTACTATCTAGAGTGTCTACAATGTTTGTGGTGATCTTGCTCTATTTATGATCATTTAGTACTACATATGTAATTGGATTTTATAAACAGGAAATAATATTTGACATTATTGTCCTGACATGTTTTCCTTTTGATATGGTTTTCACTTGGCTGTGGTGTGGTGCTCCTAAAATTGTACATCTGAAGCAAATGGTTTCTTGAAAAAATTGGTCATGAAGGTTGTTGCTTTATCATCCTTTTTTTTGTAGCTTTCGTGACCTGTGTTTTTGTTTATCAAATTGACTATTCTGTTTTATCATGATTATTGTAGGTCTTAATAATTTGCTGAAGGCATATGAAGATAAATCAGCATATGCTATGTGTGTGTTTTCTCTTGCCCTTGGACCAAGTGCAGATCCTATCACCTTTGTGGGGAAAACTATGGTATGTACTTTTGTTTTCTGATTTGCTGGTCTTGAAATACTTTTTAGGTCTGTCATACCATCTAGGATTCAGAAACCATTTGATGGTGATTTATTTACTTTTTTTTCAACCAATGTTACTATATAATTGACTAAGAAATGAGTGTCTACTAATCCACTGACACTTATCACTATGTTTATCATAATTATTTCAATACAAGTTAACTGTGAGTTTTTCTTATTCAAGTGTTGTACTTTCTGGAAACCTGTTCAGAAGTTTCTAAGCACTTATCATTTTGTATCAAGGCAACACAATTTGCAGTTACAATTATGTGCTCTCATCAGCTACTGCCTCTCTTGTAAATACTGTTCTCATAAAACTTTTACTTTAATATATGAATCAGGCACAGGTGTAAAGTTTTAGCATATAAACATCATGAAGTAATGAAAGATAATGTGTCAAATGTGCATTTGCTAACTAATTAGGACAGTCAAATAAAAATTCATACATATCAATTTAGCAACTTAGATGGTCACTTTGGGGCCTGCTTTTGCTAGTTGGGATGATGGTAAGGAAGATGATGAGGGCAGAAGAAGGTGGGAAGAGAGGTTAGGTACAATGATACAAATAATATAATGCTTTAAGAATAGCTTATTTACACACATAGTGACATAGTCATGCAGATGCAGTGGTTTAAATTTTAAAATAAAGCTTAAGATCTGCGGAGTACATTTCAGTTTGTTTATCCCTTAAATTGGTATGCTTTCCTCTGTTCATCCTTCCACTTTCTCAACAATCTATGTTTGTCACCTGATCTTATATGACTTTGTGGACATACCATTAACTCCCTCTATTTTGTAATCATCTTTCTATTTGAAAATGGCTTGGCAATTAGAAAAAAATGTAAGTATTTTCATTTTGATAAGAAAAAAAAAAAGTGTATACAATATGCTTTGTTAGGGGAAGATTGGAAAGAGTGATTTTTGGAGAGAAACACCAAGTAGAGGTTCAACCATCTTGTTAACCATATACTATAGCGTTTCGAGGTGGGTGGATAGAATGAGTATGATTTGTGGAGGGATAGGTATCGTGAGAGGTCAAGGAGGTGGCCACATTTAAACTCTCTGCAGCCAAAGCATGCAGAAGTAAAGGGGTAATTGCATGAATTGAGTGACAGAAATAGAGTAAGATAAGAATAAGGAATGCTCCAACTGTTGCTAATTGCTTGAATTGAGTGACAATTAAACCTATTTGCATCATCTTTTTGAGAAACGCGGTGAGGGGGGGATTGTTTAATTACAGCTTTGGCTTTGAGGATAGTTTGTGGGATTTTAAAGGTAAGGAACTCAAACTGTAAGTGAGAGAAAAAGCTTTGCAATGTTGGATGAGAAAATGTGAAGAGAATAGAAGGCTAGGAAAGTGATTGTTTTCCTATATGGATTGGCAAATAGAAGGGGATGAAAATAGAGGGATCCAACTTCTTTTCCTCTTTATAAATAAACCCTTCCAATGTTGGAAAGATTTGTAGGATAAAACACTAGCCCACTTCTCCCTAACCTCCCCACCCCTGCCGTCAAGGCGTAAATCTTTGGCCTGTGGCATGAGAAAAGAAGGGGAATATCTGTTCATGAAAAGGGGCTAGGATTCCAGAACTATACTCTCTCTCTCTCTCTCTCATATTTTTTTGACCAAGAAAACGGAAAGTAAGAGATCTAAATCTGAAAACCAAGCGGCCTGGACTCACCTTTATTCTTCTATGAAGTTCAAGTCGCTTAATCTATAGATTATGAGTTGAGTTATGTCCAAATATTTGCAAGTCAATTCCCCTTTGTGGCTAATAGAATGTGCAGAGAGGGAGGGTGCATTGGGAAATTGGTGAGTAGTTCGTACATAAGATTTGGCTAGTTTTTAATTGTTCAGCTGACAGTATTTGGATGATTACTAAGCAACTACATGGGGGGTCTTTGGCTAGTCAAAGTTGCAGCAAACAAGAGTCCCCCCCCCCAAGCAGGAACATAAGGAGTATACTTGTGGGGTTATTAAGAACCTCCTTTTTGGCCTTCAAATTTCAATAGAATGATAGCCAACTCCGAAAAATCTTAAGAGCTCAGAGTTCTTAGTTCCCCTCTTTTCAGTTGAAACTATTGAGGTTGGTTGTTGGTAGCCTAGTACACTAACTTTCCTAGTACTGCAATATGATAGACTCACAGGTACATAACCAAGTTGTTTCACTAGTACTTTGATAGTTTCAAATTGCACAACCTGGGTATCAAATTGCACTACTGATGATCAAGGTAAGTACTTGTGAAAATATTTCTCTCTAACCTCCCCTCCCCTTTCCTCTCCTTAAGGCCTCGATCATTATTAATGCAATTTGATACCCAGGTTATTTTAAGATTAATCTAGGTAAGTACTTGTGAAACCAGGTTGTTTCACTAGTACTGCAATTTCATAGAGTCGCAGGTGCATAACCAAGTGTCAATGCTAATTTTGTCAATGAATTTGCCATTGTACCGGTGTTGATACGACCCAACATTTGATTTGGGCACAGAATACTGGTCGGGTACGATAGTTAGCACTCGGATACTAACCGATGATCAGAGTGGAGGTGGGATATCTTGATGGAAATCGGTCTTTAATGAATATTAAGATGTTTGGACCTCCTATCACCTTCCCCAGTGCATGTGCTTGTGCTTCTTTTTCACGCCATTGTGCGGGTGGAGTAAGCTGATAGGCTGTGACAAATTAATGACCTATTTACTTTGTTTGCACTTGATTGCTAAAATATAACTAGAAACTAATAGAAATATGAGGCATTCAGCCAATTATAAGTGCTCTTGGTTTGGGCTTTATGTTGGGTCAATAATATTAATAACTCTTATCTGTGGGTTGGGAACTTGAGGCTGGAAGCTGCCCACAACTTAGGAGCCCAAATTTAACAAACTCACACATAGAAACACTATATTCTTTTCTTTTTTTTTTTATTATTATTATTTTTATTATTTTTTTTTTAAAAATGTAAGCCATATTAAAATTTATAATGTCGCATCCCCATACCCATGTCCAAAATTAAGATGGCGCCTGCATATCCATAAATTTCTAAAATGTTGTATCAGACTCTTGGATCCGCATCCATCCCGATACTTGTCCCTGTGTCCATGTAAAATAGGCCAAAAGTACTCGATTCCAACTACGTTGATTTTGCAATGGCATCAAGTCTGGACACTATTGTGTCTGCTCATTGTGCTCCTTTCTCTTGACTATTGAATATGGCTGAGCAAAAATTCAGGGTACCCTGTAACCTAATTAAAGTATTACTTAAGCCCAAATCATATATCAATTTGAGTCTAATTTTTACTAAATATAAATAAAAATAATTGTTATAACTGTATGTATAAAATTTGGTAAACAATTACTTTTGGTTTGTTGTATTTGCAAATTGTAAGAATTGTAAATTTTATGACCCTCTAATTTTAATTTTAAAAATTTGCAAAAAAATACGAAATATAGTAAAAGACAGGGTACCCTGAATTGGAGTCGGAACCTGTAGGTTCCGGTTCGGTTCCCATTTTCAGGAACCTATTGCAACGGGTTCCGGTTCCGGTTCAGGAAATTTAACACTGTTATGCTTACCCCTACTATTGAACCATAGTTGGGAAGAAATGAAAAAGAGTACTGGGAGGGGTAGGATTAAACTGGACTCAATTGTTGGTTAATTCACCCCAGAGGCTCAGAGTCAGGACTTTAACTCCAAACCAGTTCAGCCTTAAACATTTCGTAATCATTTTACATGGACTACTAGTATTTCCTAATCATGTGCATTGATGCATCTTTTCACGAATTAGCCCTTGTATATTAGGAATTCATAACAGTGCCAATCATCTAATTTATGTAGTATGTCTACTGAGTGGTTAAATTACAATCTAAAGTGCACTTGGCCGGTTGGCCCTATCTCTGTTTTTGTCTGATAAAAATCATCCGTACCTCCAGGAAATCAGAAGGAAGTTGCCTTTTAATTATAAGGACTGTTTTATTACTCTTCCAAATGTATCCATATGTCCTCATGCAAGATCCATTGAGATTTATTTTGAGGAAGGCCCAAACTCAACCCCTAACCTTGTTAAGTTGCTTTGTTTTTTCGTTTCTGTACAATTATACAACTTTTATTAGTTTGCACCAAAAAACCTTTGTTAGTAGGGGTCGTATATTCGACTGAAGTATTTCGCATTTGTTATAATTTTAATGGGCAAATATTTGGCCACGCTGTTATTGAACTTGATGTTTGAAATCAGCTGTATGACCTGCAAAAAAAGTCTTTAAGCATGGAAGAAATCAGTTTTTTAAAACGATATTGACCTTCTTTTCCCTTTGTTATTGCAGGGTAAGATTGTTCAAGCAAGAGGGCCAAACGATTTTGGCTGGGATCCGGTTTTTCAGCCTGATGGATACGAGCAGACGTAAGCTTTCTTCTCTGTTTTGACATGAGCGTGTATATTGCATTTTGATTTAGTTTTTTTTTACTAACATCTATAAATTGTACCGTGGATAATCACAGTTATGCTGAAATGCCAAAGGAAGAGAAGAACAAGATATCGCACCGCTGCCGAGCTCTTGCATTGGTTAAATCCCATTTTGCTGAGGCTGGATACACTTTTCACCCGCACAATGCTTAATAACAAGCATTAATTCTCTAATATAATAGAAAAAGATTATGGAGATAATACTTGAATATTGATTATTTTGTGACATTCGGATAACTTTGAATAGGTTTGAATCTTGTCACTTAAGATCTTAAGTCGATTTCCTTTATTCTTTTCCCCCGCTCTCAAGTGCTTGCAAATTTGAGAGAAATTAACCCGCGAGGAGTTCATCTACATACTTACCAACCCAGGATTTTCTTCGTACTTTCCTCGATTTCGGGTGCATTTTAGCCTTATTCTTCCCTCATAAATATCTCTTGCAATTAACTATTTTAATTGTTTTGTACAATCATTTAAATCAATATTCGCATGGCTAGTAAAGTATGCACCGACACAAAATCCTTTAGATTTTGCATAAATTACTTAGTAGGGTTTTAGTGTTACTTTCTCCATTAAACCTTTCTAGTTTCTACCCCTTTAAAGTATTACTTAGACTCTCCAATACAGGCATACAACTGAAAGGTATGTATAAAAAAGATTAGTGTTCTTTTTTGTCTCTTTTTTCTATTGACTTTATCTTTCACTCTACCTCACCAATTAGTCAATTACCACTCTTGTGCTTTTAACTTTTCTATATTGCTATCTTACCAACTCCCAAACATCTACAATGAGTGAATTAGGTATGTAAAGCATAATGACTAACCAAAATAAATTCCTAAAATCATCAAATCATAAGAAAAAGTTTAGGTCAATTTATTTATATTTTCAATTTAATTTGCATATATATAGTTCAAGTTGAACGACTTATTTATTGAGTGATCCCAATATTTTGAATCACCCATTTGTATATATATACATATAGTCTAATTTTGTGAAAATTAGAAGGAAATATTTTTAAAAATAGATAAATCGATAATTTTCACTTCGATAACTTGAGGTATTGGTTGAATTAGAATTTTTTGTTGAATTGGCTAGTAACTGTGAGCCATTTTGACCGTAGATTTCAAAATTGGCATAACCTTTGTTAATAAACAATTTTTCTGTTTTTCTTTTTTTTGTGAGACAATCACCGTCTAAACATGAATAATTGTTAGAAACCACGAGTAATTTAAATCTTTATGCCATCAATCCAAAAGCTACAAATATATAAATCAATTGAAATCGAAATATTATTTCAATAACCAAATTATCCTTAATTTTACCTTATAAATTAGGATAAACGACTCACCTTTTTCTGAAAATCGATGCTCATATACATACAAGTATATGAAAATACAGATAATATAAAGAAAAAAGAGGATTCTTGACTCACATTTGCAAAACTTACATATCTGTTCTCGGTATTTTATTATAATAATCCTTAATTTTACCTAGCTTATTAAACTATGGAGTAAATTAAAGAAACGTAGAGTATCTAACATCACCTTTGCACCAAGAATGGAGATTAAAAATTAAAGTTTCAACTCAATGCTCATTAATGTTTTAGTCATTAGTTATTGGCAATGAACCAATGAGTGAGCTTACCTCATCAATTAATAGGACTGATTAGAATAAATTGGGCCCCCATAACATGTGTAATTGCAAAGTGTAGGGGCCACTTAAAATGAATGATCCTACCCATTATTTTCGCCGCTTTTCTCATTTGCCGCCATCTGTATTCAATGAAGTTGCTGAGCTGAGCTCAAACAAATTTGAGTTTGTTATGGAGCCCTAAATTGACACATACTATAGTTTTACATAAGAAGTATTAGTATCATAGATCCAAAAATAATATGGTGGAAATATTAAAAATAAATAAAAATTATGTATTGTTCTAATTTTATCAGATGTCTCTAAGAATATGTCATGAACAAATGAATCACGCGTGATGTCTAGCATTTTAGCGCTATATGCCTTGAATGAGCTAGATCTGAAAATGTCTTAATCTTTAATCAAATGCACAAATGAAGCTAGCTTAGTTATAGTCCTAAACTCATGTTCATTACTACTATAGATATTTCTTTATACACTAGTGTAATGACCATAATAGAGATGACAAAAGTTGACCCGACACGATAATTCAACATAAATTGTTAAAACTGGACATGAGAGGTCTTGTAATGAATGGACAAACACCAATGGTGCACACACAATATCCAGAATTCTTTAGACATGGAGAAAGAATAAAGAAACTGATACTTGTATTCAACCCAAAATAGATTGTCCAAAATTACTCAATCGAACATTTGGCAAATAGTCTAATCTGTCACAAAGTTGGGGCATAAAATTCGTACTAGATCTTCCTACAACAATCACAAACTTATAGTGGGAAACCTCAGCATGTAATTTGATGGCTTAAAAATCATCTCACATTGACTAATCACATGCAAATATGCAGCATATTGGACCTACCTCACATGCTATGGTATTTATTCCATTTTTCCTTAACAGAAATAATATGGAAGACTAACATGCCAGGGAAATTGAACCCATTAATGTATTTCTTCTCTTCTGATTAGACTGTTGTTCTGTTAAAGACTTCAATGATTTTTTTTTTTTTTCTCTTTAATGGTGTGGTTCCTACCAGCCTATGAGACATAAGACTCTTTAATATATTCCGGAATTATCCAAAAGATGAGAGCTTCGAAGTATTCATACTTTGGCGGAGTTAGATTTGCAATAATATTTCCGTCTGAAGATGCAATGCAGGAGAATCACAGGGGGAGGAGGGGAGGGGGAGGGGGGGAGTTGTTTCTGATATACTAAGATCTGCATTCTGCAACACACAATTCAATTCCTGAATGTTTCTTGACAATTGTAGCTTTTTTTCAAATCAAACTAGTGCTTGTGTAACTAGGACTCACAAGAGAAAAGAAAAAGAAGATTACAAACCATTTCCCAATTCCTATAAATCAAAAACAAGGACTGTAGAAACCTGACACTTCAGATAAAAAAAAAAAGGCAAAGGTGGTTATAAATTTTGGAAGAGGGTTGATTTGTTTGGGAGGGAATTCAAAAAAAAGGAAAGGGTAAATTAAAAGCCAAAAGAAGAAAGGAACAACGCTTCTGACCTTGCTGTCATCGCGAAATCTTTCTTCTGAAATGAAGCAGGCCGAGGTTGAGAAAATAAAAAACCACACAAATTTGATTCAACAATGGATATAAAAGGCTTCTTCAATCCAATCATATGATTGATTCGACAATGGATATGTGAGGGTTTAATCAAATCATATTGTGACAATGTGTAAAAAATGTACACTTGCCGGTGAGCTGTAGATAAGTGGTTCAATCAGGTAAAGGTGACTTAATGGATCAATGCTGCTATATTGTGATAAATCTATGAAGGAAAACCAAAAATGGACAATAAATAAAAAAAAAAAAAAAAAAAAAAGGGGAGACTTGGACTCTTTCTTATGAACAGAGTTGTAACTAAGGGCTAGCATTGGCGACCCCTGCGGCAGGAGAGAGGGCCTGCACTAGCCGTGATGGTTCCAACCATGGAAGATGACTTAGCTCCCAAGCTTGAGGCTCTTGCATAACTAGCCGAGGCTCCAGCTCCGGATGGGGTGAAGTATGCTCCGTTCAGCAGTAGATCTCCCTCAGACCTCCAGTTCCAACCCTTCCACTTGTTTGCAGCTGTCTCCACCCTCTTTGTCACCTAAAAATTTAGCATAATTCACACCATAGTATCAAAATATAGTGCAATGTCCTCAATCATTCATAAATAATTTTAAAATCATGTTCGTTGAACATGTCAAATAGGATTTATTACAGGGCAAGTGTTTACCTCTTTCGCAAAAGGATTGGTTGGGGCTGCATATCTGTTGCCCTGGCTGTTGATGGTAGGGGCTGCACTTCCACCAATTGCATACATTTCCCAGTGGGTGTAGTCATTGTTTACCACATGGAAATAACCATGGCGACACCTACAATTTCAAGGAAGCATTCTATAACTACTAAGACATGAACTAAGCATAAAGCTAGCTCGATTATAGCATAGATTGAACACATTATGTATAGTGATCAGTGCATACCTTGGCATTCTCTGCATAAGGCCTGCACCAAAATGGTTAAATGCAATTGTAACTTGCATCGCCTTGTCTCTCACATAAGAATCACTGTGCCCCAACAGCATCACCTATATTGCATTACAATGTCAGCTTCTTCACCATCAAAGAACTCAGTATAAAGCAAAAGATTACGGAAATGTACGATAACAATACCTCATTATGGTGAGCAAAGTGATTGTTGGAAATTGTGATAGCAGTTGAACCCATCACAGCATCAACAAGTCCATCAGCACAGTGTGAGAGGGAATTGTGATCGATCCAAATATGACTTGCACCAAAGATTGAGATACCATCACCATCGGCCATTGTTCTCCATCCAAAATGAGTCGTGGAACTCCTCACCATAGCATTACCAGTGGGTTTGCAATCATGTACGTGAATGCCATGGATGATGATGTTAGTCACATACTGAATTGTAACACAAGCTCTATTAGCAATGTGGACGTTGGCTCCACGACCATCAATTGTCTTAAAGCTGTTCATGATAAGCTCCTCCTTCAACTCAATCACCATGTCACGCTTAAATATGATCCAAAGAGGTTCTTCCTGGATAACTGCATGACGCAGAGTCCCAGGCCTGGGGTTGACAGGGTCATCATCACGAGGGTCTGTGACAACGTAGAAGCGACCATTCTTGCCACCAATGGCATTTCTTCCAAAACCAATACCACAGTCAGCAAGGCGCTTACGGTTTTTGTGCCAGTTGCGGTCACAACGCCAGCAATCATCAATGGGGTTTCCTGTCCCACATGAAAAATAACCCAAATTCCTTCGCTGAGTGCTGTTCTGGATACTCCTGCAGAACACGACATAATGTAAGTACAACTTGCATTGCACCTCAGGACTGCAATTAAAACATATTCTCAAGTACTCTATAGATATGATTATCATCATTGTCATGTGTTACCCTTAAGTAATTAGAAATATCAGGTGACATATGATACAAGTGATGATTGCAACAGAGGTTCAGGCTTCTTCCCCTGTCAACATATAAATTTTAATGATATTTGGATCTTGCATTGTATAAACTTTACACATTACATCAGTGTAAAAAACCATATTCCTCAAAAATAATAAAAATTTACATATCTTCCCTTGTAATAATAAAATTTACTAGGCTTGTTTCATGTACAGTAAATAAAAACAGCAAATGCAGTAAATATCTGTTGTTCTTGGGCCTAAGGCTTCAATATGACAGTTTTCAGCTCAAGCCACCGACATAACACTACTCAATAT